TTAGAGATATTATTTATTTATATGACTTCTTTGAAAACTAAACATTGATTGAAGCTATTTTAACAAATCTTAGACGATATGAGATTTGAAGAAAAAATTATCATATTAAATCTTCTCTTCTTATTTGTAAGAATAAAATCAATTGTCCCATGATTATAAGAAAATAAAGATGACTCCATATGAAATCTATCAAAATTTATATGGAAAATTGTAATAGAAAGGAAATTTAAAAAAAAAAAATACTAGGATTCGGAAAAAATTCAAGAATTCGAATAAATTCGGAAAGTCGGACGGTAGTCGGAAAAATTTAGGAAATTCCGACTAATTCAGACGATCTGGCAACCCTGTTCAGCATACACATAATAAATGTACTTACGTGATCCGTTTTCAAATCAGAATTCAATAAACTATAGAAAATTTTTATGAAGAATACGATAAACTTAAAATATTTTGTAAAAATTAAATTTGAATTTTAAGAACAAAAATTTACATCACAACATGTAGTTTTTTTTTAAGTAACAGTAATCTATATATGTTTCAATCGTAAAACTAAATAAAAATTTCTTTAATGAAATTTAAATTTAGCTATAACAACTATAACATAATCTAAAAACCGTTTTGAATTAAAGAAAAAAAAATAAATAAATGAAATTTAAAAAAACGATTTTTATAGTAAGGAACATCACCAAATACTTTCTGAATTTACTAAAACTTAAAAGTTTCAGGATGTTCACAAAATGTTCATCATCACTTCCTCTATACGTGTATTATCATTCGTTCTATAACCAATCATATTTATATATACAAACAATATAATATATAATGCAAAACATGCAAACTCGAGCAATATTTTTTTTCTTTTTCGTTATTCTATACATCAGTAGATATAACTCGGTGACTTCAATAAGAATATGTATTTTATTTTTCTTTGAAAGCTTTTTGATAACAAAAAATTGAGTGTACGAAACTGATTTGCATATTAGTTTTACAATCAACATGAAATGAAAAACAGTTTTTTTTAAATTGAAACATGTATCAATTTTATAGTATGAAAAAACATACTGTTAGAATAAATAGACTATTGAAAAGAACTCGATTTTTTTTATTAAAACACTTTCCAAGAAAAATAAAATACACATTTTCACTGAATTCGTCAAGATCTAATCGAATGACGTATAAAATAATGAAAAACAAAATAACACTCAAATTTTTTGTATTCTTTGCACATGATGTGTGTACATTTTTCCGTTCTGCTTAACGAACACGCTAAATAACAAACTAACGAACGAAGAACGTTGATACACAAACATTCGGGCGTTGGAGCTGCTCGTTATATTATCTTTCTGCGAGTAGGAGCAATAAACACAATATTTTGAATTAAGAAAAAATATTTGCATTGAAAAGTGTACTCGATACTTACAATTACAACTAACTATCGTCAAATCTTGTCCTTAGAGCAATCATAGGTCATACTACGTCAAAAAATCATCAGGCAATGTAGATAAGAATCAAATTTCGGCGAAAACTTGTATTTTGTATTGAGTATATTATTCGATGCAAATATTCTTTGTTGACTATGAATATGATATTTGGTTTCATTTGAAATAAAATTTCTTGAAACAAATTCCCTTATGTTCGACCGCCGTTATGTCAGTAGATCGAAAAAATCGTGTTTTTTGTTCAAATAGCATACACAAGTTTTTCCCTAATTATATGAGAAGTAAAAGCAAAAAAAAGATACAATTAGATGAATATTGACCCGAGTAAGATTTGATAATTTAAGCATATTCTAGTTTTTCTAGATTTGTCTAATTTTTTTTTCTCGGTTTTGCTATAAAAACATGGTTCGATTATATCAAAAACAAAAATATCTTCAAAGCTAACTAGACAAGCACTGTACAACTATAGAAAAGTCATTAAAAATTCTGCTCAATGTTTGAATAGGTGGCACTTTAAAAAATAGAAAAATAAAAACTTCACTAAGTTCCAATATGTATAAAATGAAAAGGAAAAATTAATATTTTAATTTAAGTAGAAGGAAAAAAGAAACAATTAATGTTTGTAATTTTGATTGAAAAAAAAATTTATTCATTCCAATACCCATCGATTTTGTTCATTATTCTATATTTTTCTTTTCTTTTTTTTGTTTTAATTAGTTTGAACTGACAATTTACTAATAAAAAACCATTGCTATAGTGGTTATGGCACACAAATCAAGATCGAATAGAAAAATAACAAATAATTCTTCACGTGATCAATTTTCGAACTCAACAAACAAAGAAAATAAAGAAAGTATAACACTTATTTGGTATGATCCTAATATTGGATCCTATGAAGATACTGAAAAAACAAAAGAACAACTTCGTCTTACTAATGATTATGTCATTTTTTCTAATGATCTTGAAGAATGCATGACATTTATTCAATTAATTTATCAGGAAAAAATTTTTTTCATTACATCAGGATCAAAAGCATCAGAAATTTTACCTGTAATTTCTGCGTTTCGTCAAATTGATTCAATTTTTATCCTTTGTATGGAAAAAGAACGATATGAGCATTTATTAAATGAATATGTTAATATTATTGGAATCTATACTCATATTGATGATCTATGCAAATCAATTAAAGAACAACTCGAACTTTTTAATAAACAATTACAAGCATTTTCTTTTTTTGATCAATATCAAAAAGCGACTAAAGATTTATCGAAAGAATCAGCACATTTTCTTTGGTTTCAATTATTTAGTTATGTTATTGTTCGTCTTCCACGAGATCAACATGCAAAACAACAAATGATTCAAATATGTAAAGAATATTACCGTGGAAATACAAAACACATGAAATTAATTCGTGAATTTGAAGAAAATTATCGATCAGAGGATGCAATTCGTTGGTATTCGAAACAATCATTTGTTTATAAATTAATTAATAAAGCATTAAGAATTGAAGATATTGATTTGTTATATACATTTCGATATTTTATTGCTGATCTTTGTGAAAATCTTCAACGTAAACATGAACACATTTTATTATCAAAAGAAAAAATTTTAAATGTTTATCGAGGAACTAAACTTGAAAAAGAAGAATTTGATAAAATAAAAACAAATCAACGAAAACTTATTTCAACAAATGGATATTTATCAACTAGTCGATTAAAATCATTAGCATTACACTTTGCAACGAAACATACAAGAAAAAATGATGATATTTCTGTTCTTTTTCATATTCAATGTAATATTGAACAAGTTGATAAAAATATTATTTTTGCTGATATTCATGAATTTAGTCAATTTCCAGAAGAACAAGAAGTTTTATTTGGTTTAAATTGTTGTTTTGAAATTGAATCTATTGAAGAAAATGAACCAGTTAAAATAATTAAAATGAATCTTTCAAATGAAGGACAAAACATTACTAAAGGTTTTATTGAATTAACACAAAAAGAAACAGATGAATTAAGTGTTTCAATTGTTTTTGGAAGATTATTATGTTCTATAGGTGAATATGATAAATCACAAAAATATTTTCAAAAATTATTACATGATTCAAATGATGAAGATCATGCTTGGATTGAATTTAATATTGGTCGAGCTATCGATTTTAAAGGTGAATGGATTGAAGCTCGAAAATATTATGAACGTGCATATGATCAAATGATGAAAAATAAACCAGCACGAATCAAAGATTCTGCTCATGTACTCAACAATATTGGGAACATTCTCAATCGAGAAGGAAAATACGATGAAGCTCTTAAATATCATCAGCAAGCATTAAAAATTCGTCAGATGTTTTATCCATGTGATCATGTTGATATAGCTACTAGTCTCAATAACATTGGTATTATTCTCTATCTACAAGGAAAATGTGATGTAGCTCTCAATTATCTTCAAAATGCACGGAATATTCAAAAGAAAATTTATCCATCTAATCATGTCGTTATTGCAACAAGCTTAGTCTGGATTGGTAATATTCTTAACGATAAAGGAATGTTTAATGAAGCTCTCAATTATTATCAACAAGCACTACAAATTCAAGAACAATTTTATCCATGTGGTCATGCTGATATTGCTCATAGCCTTAACAACATAGGTGCTATACTCAATAAACTTAGAATGTTCGATAGAGCTCTCGATTATCATCAACAAGCATTAAAAATGAGAGAGAAAATTTATCCATCTGGTCATATCGATATTGCTGCTAGTCTCAACAATATTGGTCTCATTCTCAAAATTCAAGGAAAGAACGATGAAGCTCTCGATTATCATCAACGAGCATTGAAAATTCGACAACAATTTTATCCATCTGGTCATGCCGATACTGCTTATAGTTTGTATAATATTGGTGTTTGTTATGAAAATCAGAATAAGCAAACGATGGCACTTGACTATTATCGACAGGCATTGGCTATTTATGAGAAGTGTCTTCCTGTTGATCATCCATATCGACAGAGAATCGAGGGCAATATTCGTCGACTTACTGAAAAAAAATAAACTCTTTAAATGACACAGCAAAGATAAAGACTCACATTTTAAGGCAACCCCCTCCTTCACGATAGATTTTCTACATAGGATGACGAACTAGACCGAACTTTCAGCTTATTTATTGTCCATTTATGGCGTCCTGGAGAATCTTTATATCTTCGTCATTAAAAGAGGTACACTGCTCGGAGTGGTTTCAAATTACAGTCAATATCTGCACGCACAGTATTTCATCGAACAAAATTTTGAAAGTCTTTTCTATTTATTTTTCTATGACCACCGGAGAACATATTGAATAAAAATAAACCAAACATTTGTGATTTCAAGACACTAAAACTCGCATTGCTCCACACAAATATCAAATATAAAAAATTTGATCGATCAAAAGGAACGTATATTCACAATTGTTTATATTTGATATTTATTGTTTTAAACAAATATAAAGATCTACTTTGGGTTTCTTTTAATATACCACGAGCAAGATTCATACACAACTTTAAATGATGATAAAAGTTTTTTCTTATGAATGATTAACAACGTCGAATTAATTTCTCTTTTCAAAGAAATAAACTTTTTTTAGAACCAGAAAAATGTAATTTAAGTTTATAATCAATTGAATGATTATTGTATGAAATTGAAAGTTGATCTGTTCTTAGAAAAACTCTTCATTAAGATTTTGTTAAATTTCAAAGAATTTTATTAAATACTTCATTGATGAATTTTCAAAATAGTTTTTAATAAAAATAAAATATTTGAAATAGTTGAAAATAAATTGAGAAAATATCAAAGAAAATCATTGTCTTCAGTGAAGTTCCATTAATATCATTCGAGGGAATAATATCTAAGATAGAATATATATTTGAAAAAAGCTATTTGAAAAACGGTTAATAATGCAGAAGCGAATGAATCAAAATTTTTTCTCTGTTTTAAACAATAAGAATCTTTGAGATGAATATCATTTAAAAAAAAGATTCATTTTGATAACATGTACAACATTTACATTTAATATGAATTTCTTTATGTGATATTATATTAAATGCTACTATTGAACAACATTCACCAGCAAATAAATGTATACCAAGAATACTATATAGACATATTTATCAATAACAACATTGACAAGCAGAACAACAATTTAACTTTAGTGTTTTTTTTTCGTTTACAAAAGCATGAACAATTAAAAAACAAAGTATATTTTTTACTTGAAAAACAAACGTGGGTAAAGTTAGCACCATATTCGAGTTTTTGCTGCCCGGATTCGTTCGTGTACTTGAGTTATATTTCGTTCAACTTGAGTTAGGTGCAGAATTTTACGGCGAATCCAATGGTGTAATGATCAAGGGGGGTCATCGAGCAAAAACTAGCACTTGACCCCGAAATACTGAATTTTTCAAAATTTTTTGAAAAGTATTTGCTGTCCGGATTCGTTATTTTACTTGAGTTGGGTCTAAAAACGATTGAGGTGGAGTCAGCAGGAAATGCTGTAT